TATTCCTAGTTGTTTTTTTTTTTTCTTGAAGCAGACTAATTACGACCTCTTCCCCCATAGCCCAGGGGCAGGACATACCTTTGCTGCATCCCTCACAACAGTGTAATCCTGGGGTGGGCATCTTTGTTTTACAGACTACCCTTCTCTGACCCCCAGGCCTCGCTGCCCAGATGCTTCCCCATCATTAAATAACTAACCATCAGTGTTTCCCCACCTTGCAGGCACACCAAGGGCATGAGAGCAGGGAAACCGCAGCTCGTAAATGAGAATCAGCTCAGGGACTGAGGGATGAGACCTTCCAAGAAGCCTAGAGGCCACTAGCCCCCAGCCCACCACCCCCGCTGCGTGATGGCTTGGGGAGGAGGGAACCCGAGAGACTGACATCAACACCTTGCAAAAGCCACCACTTGTCTCGAACTGTAGAAGCTGTAAACCACCCAGAAATGCTTTGCTCCTTAAATTCCAGTGCCCAATTCCCACTTCCACGAAGAAGATCACACGTCTGACAAAAGGTCTTCTCCCCATTTACTGGTGTGTCACAACCACCCTCCAGGGCAGCTTCCTGACAGCTCTAGGTCAGTCGTGGTTCACCAGCTCCCTCTGACCGCACTGCTAACCCACATCTTCCTTCCCCCTCCACAGGTCCCTCCTCCGCTCCATCCAGCCCAGCCCGGTAAGGATGTCTTTCTTGCCATGTTGTCCAGCAGGCAGGTGGAAGTGGCCAAGGAGAGAAACGCAACATGTCTTTGGTCTTGGCACCAGCCTTCCGGCCTGGGAGCAAGCTCCGGGGAGAAGGGCAGGGTTGGGCTGCAGGCCAGGAGAGCCGGTGCGAGGGACCAAGGCTCGGGCACTGCTGGAGGAGGATCTAGCTTGGGCACAGCTGAGAACTGGTGTGAGGACAAGGGATTGGGACAGCAGGGTGGGGAGACCATGGCACATGGATATATCTTCCCTAGCTATAAGGAAGGAATTCTTCCCGCAGAGGGTGGGAGCACTGGGACAGGTTGCCCAGAGAAGCTGTGGATGCCCCATCCCTGGATGTCTTCAAGGCCAGACTGGATGTGGCTTTGAGCAACCTGGTCTAGTGGAAGGTGTCCCTGCCCATGGCAGGGGGGTTGGAACTAGATGGTCTTTAAGGTCCCTTCCAACCCAAACCATTCTGTGATTCTATGGATGCTGCAGGAGCAAAGGGCTACTGGAAATTTAGGTGGGCCACAGGCACAGAGCATAGAAGGCAGCCACATTAAATCAGCAAAAGAACCACTCACCCAAGGGACAAGAGGGGGGAACAGCCTGGGATGGGGTCTGTGCCAGGCTGAGGAATGATGACTGAGAAAGTGGAAACTGTGCAAGAGAAACTTTCCTCCCCACACTGCGCCCCAGTCCCTACTGGGGCAGAAAAAGTGCCCACAGCAAAGCCGATGAGCTCTGTCAAGTGGGGAGGAAGGTATGAAGACACCAAACAGCCCAGTTCAGGTGGGGCAGAGCAAGATTCTTCAGCCTGCATCCATAGTGTTCTCCCACAGTACACTCGGCATCTCCCATTGCCCGACACACCACCACTGGCCTTGGACACTCCTGACAACTGTGATGGCCAGGCTAGGAGGGGATGGGGAAAAAAACCCAACAAACTAAAGCCGAAACCAACACTTAGGCTAAATCCTAAGAGGCCGTATGTGACATCAGTATAATTACATCTGCCTGGGGCTGCTCTATTCCAACCTGTGTTATCCCTGTGCGATGACTCCTTCCCTCATCCTACCCCCTAAACATGGCCATTGCAGCCGGACAGTCAAGTGAACAGCATCAGGACACACCCAAAGATGCAATAGGGAATTTAAATCTGTAGTTAAATTTGAAATAGTTATGTGGAAAAGCGTAGCTTTGCTGATTTAACAGCGTCTAAACCACACTGCACCCCGACTGTATCCGTACAGATACACGCGTGGATGAAAGCTTAAAAACCAAAGGTCCTCCACGCGCTAGGTGAGGGGATCCTTCCCAGGGGAGGTTTGTCACAACCTCCGGAGGCTCTGAGCAGGACAGCAGCAGTTCATGCTGACAGGGCAGGAGAACATTCCAGATGCTTTAAGATGTAGAACATTAGATGCAGCTCAGGCACTTCAAAACTACCGGCTGCAGAAGGGAGGATCCGTCTCCAACAGCTGCAGACACTTACACTCCATAAGGTCTAGAGCAGGCAAGAACGTGCCTTCACCTTATTCACTTCTTCTACCACCAGGCCACAGCCGCAAGACTCCACCTATGAGAACTTTGACCGCAGGCAGGCCGACGGCCAGACTTTGCCGACAGAAAGAGCCTCCAGACGCAGCTGAGGACCCGGGCGGCCTCACCCGCACGGTGCGAATTCCCGTCTGCTCCGTGCTAGGGTGCCTTTTCCCAGGGAACACAAGACTGACGTTGACTGACGGACAGAAGGTCAAACAGGGCCTGAGGGTGCGTGACTTCCATCCCTGCTGTTCACGAGCAAGAGGAGCTCTTAAAGGGAAAACAAGAAAGGAGAGGACAAAGAGGGATGACGCTGGAAGAGCAGAAGAGGAGCTACATAGAATGCCCGTTCTAACCAACCTGCATGTTTTTAGCCTGTATCAGATAGTGTTTAGCAAGCGGGTAACAGGCTACCATTTTCTCACGTCTTTTTGCTATGTCTTTTTTCAAATGTTACCTCAAAAAGCAGCTTTCACCACCCCACTTGGCAAGCCACATGCAGCTTCCAACAGCCAGGAAGTGAAATACCTTCACGTTTCAAATATCACCTGTGAAAAAAACGCTATTGGATTTTGAGCTAGTTTTTTATCTTTATTATTCCTTAACTTCCAGGAGGGTTTATTTAAGAGTTTAAAGGAAATCTTAACTTTCAAGAGGAGTACAAGCAAAGAGGAAAAGAGGTTTTCCAAAAGCTGGTAGAGCTGGAAGCAAGACATGCAAAGGGTGGTCTGTATTGTAACTCCGCTGCAGCTCCTGGTGCCCACGAGCACACACAGGCAGAATCTTGGGAACTTTGGGATAAACATGCAGCGAGTGTTCCAATAAGCCAATTTAGGTGGATTTTTTTCTTTATAAAAAGGCAAAAAAAAAAATTATTTCTGAACAGTTTCCATCTCGGTGTTACATGACGAAGTTGCTTTAAGGCCTGACTACTCACCGCTTAAATTCTTCTGAGATTCAGTCGCTACAACAGAGTCACTGCCGGTCCACAGACAAGTCTCAAACCCAGCGGTGAACGTGCTCCCAGAGCAGGCGAGCAGACCCGGCTCACGGTACAGCGATGCAAGACAACGTGGAGTCACCGTCAGGCAGAGAAAAGCCCAGGATAGGGCTGTGGAGAGCGACAGGTTGGCACAGAGAAGGAGTTAAAAGAGAAGCAACAAGAACCCACTTTGATTTCCATCACTGGATTTGATGCTTTGTGCAGCCATTCTAGGGCAGCAGCTCCAAAATTCCTGCCCTAACAATGAAAAAACCCAAACAAAACAACCACCCCCGGTAACACCCGCCACTTGGCGGGAGCCCCAGCTGTGCTGAATTACCATCAAGCCCATGGTCCTGCTTGCAAACTCACCCCCCACCTGGGAACTTTTATTTTACAGTCCATCTCTTCAGAACATCTGCGCTGGGAAGGTAAAGTACCACTCCAAATGACTTGGCCAGGATAATAAGGCAAAACAAAAAATACATGCAAGGAAGTACTTGAAAATAATCTTTTAAATCCCAGTTTAAAATCCGAGAAGTGTCCAAGTCAGGTTTAATAGAAGATGGAAAGAGAAAAAGGAAGTTATAGCAGACAGTACAGTCACAGACCAGTAAGCCCCAAAACCAGCCGGCACGCACCACGCGTGCCTTCGCGTGTCGCCAGCACCCCGCTGCCAGCAACGCGTGTCACGAAGCCGCCGCAGCAACTCAGGTGTGCGGAAACTCAGGGATCGGCACCCTTTGACTCCTACTTACTTGGCTTCCAGACCACAGCCCACACCAGCGCAGGGAATGGGAGATCAAGGACATCCAGGTACAGGAGCCCACCACAGCCCTGCACACTAGGAAAGGCACAGAAATTAGTTCAATTAGTTCACGCCAAATCCTGCCCCTCTCCCCAGCGAGTGGCCTCTTTAACCCATCCAAACCCCCGCCAGACTGATCTTCAGTGGGAAGTCTGCTCGCAACGTTTCCCTCTCACTGCCCGCTGTTCCAGGCTTTGGAAAGGGAGAGCTTACAGGGCAGCGCTCGCAGGCCAACACACCGGCAATGGGGTGGTGGGTGTCCATGCAGACCACCCGCCCCGGGAATACGTAAGGAAGAAGCCCCAAGTTGGCAGGCCCTGGTCCTCATGGGATACTCCAACCACCCACTCCCACGTCCCGGGGGGACAAAGCGCAGCAGGACACTTGCCAGGCAGTTTCTAGTACCGACCTCGCGGGGCCCAACAAGTGTGTTCCACTTCCTCCCCACTTTTCCCCCCCCCGAGTTTATGCATCCCCCGGGTTTGGGAGGATTTGGCCATCGCTCTGTTGAGCACTTCAGCTTCCAGAGTAAGCGGCACCAACTCCCATCACAACACCGTGGCCGCTGTGGGATGCTGTCGAGTCAGGCTGCACAGGCAGCACCGTCTGCCCGTTTCACACATTTCGCTGCTCAGCTTCTATTTTTCCATTCCAATGACTTAATCCCACATCATCTATTATGTCCATTTCCCTATTTGGCCTTATTTTCTTAATAAATACTTAAGCTGCAAGGCACAGGCAACATCCCAGCGCAACATCTGCCGTGCCAGTCAAACATTCAAAAAGCCACAGATATGCGTTCTCCGAGTAAACCACATGAATTATCCCAACGGCACGGTTGTAAGTAGCTGACGCTCCAATTTCATCACTTTCCACTGCAATCTGCAGCGCTAAAAACAACACACAACTCAGTTTTCCTTCGGAGATTACATGGTTACGTTCACGATCTGAACAAGAACCCTGCAGTTTAGGGCAGGAGGGAGGGTGGGAGACGCTGGAATGTGATGGTCTTTCCAGAAAAACCAGCAGGGACAAAAACTCAGTCTGTTGGGCACCGTTGAGAGAACAAGATGCTGAGCTCCAGCGATCCCTTTTGTGATAGAGAACTGCCAGTGGATCTGCCGGGTCATAAAACTGGCCCCCTGTATTTGAGGAAAGGACAGGTTCAGAGTTCAGGCCTGGACCCCTGCCAGGTTCACCAAGAGGCCAGAAGACTGGTTTGCGGGTGACACAGGGAGCAAAAGCAGTAGCTCATTCTCTGCTTCTAAGGACCTACCACAGTGTCACTCAGAGTGTGCTTTAACCATGATAAAACAAGTGCTTCTCATCACAATTATTAGATCAAGAAATGGGGAAAAAAATAAAACAACTCAACAGCATCATTTCTATTAAATTTTAAGCAGTAGGTTATCGAGAAGCTGTTTCAATGGTCAAGATGATGAGACACGATGACGGTGTCAACGGTGTTTGCTGACAGCAGCGACCCCAGCTTGGTCTGGCCCTGGCCACCAGCAAAGCCCTCAGCACGAACCTTGTACCACCAGCACCAGTGGAATAGTTTTCCCCTCCCTTCCTCCATACGACCATCCTTCCCCTCATTTGGGATAAACACCAGATTCCACAGCCCGGGTCTGTTGAGTGCTGAAAGAACAGGACCAGCCTATCACCCTACGGTGCCATTACCTCAGAGCTTCAGGGGATTTTGCCAGGACAGAGAAGCGTTGTCTCCGCCATCACATCAATGAGTTTTCTTGTGGGCCCTGGGCACAAAAACCAGGCTGTTGTATCACACACAGGTTAAATCCAGGGTGTCAAAGAGAAGAGTCTGCAGAGCTCCGTCAATGGAGCAATTGCATGGCACCCCCCCATCGTACATTCATCTCCAAGACCAATTAGGTATCACCTGATGTGGGTTCTTCCAGCACGTTGAGAATCACGGTGTTTGTCACAAGTTGTTTTTTTAAATTTTTAATTTTTATTTTGCATGGTCTTTTCAGACACAGCATGTTATAAACGCAACATTTGCAAAAACTCAACAGCTGAAACAACATCTCGTTTTAAAAGTGCATGGCAAACACATTTCTGACTTCTTCACATTTTTCTGCGACTGATCAACGACATCAAATCTAAGAAAACCAGTGCTTGTAAGTCTTGGGGGGGGGCAAAAAAAAGGCAGCAGAAGGTATTCTTCCAGACATGAATTCTCCAAAAGAGTCTGTTAAAAAACATGCTGCGTTGTCGTCTGGTTAATATACAGAGGGATGTGCAGATGTATATATATATGTAAAAATCTGCATAGGCTCGCAGACAGAGCGAAGGACTCCAAGACCACATGAATACGAAGGTGATCGACTGACCCCACTGGCACAGTTACAGTCCATCAAGGAGGAGGCGATCTGCCCTCCAGCAGCAGAACCACCGTCAAGAGCAACACTTCAAAGCATTACTGACCAGAAAGTAGGTCATGTCTCCTTCCCCCAGTGACCAGAGCTGACCATGTAATGAGTAAGCACGTTCCAAAGGCACAGTTGATGGAGGAAGAGAAGAAACAACCATTGTTCCTTCACACAGGTGTACAGAACGGGGCTGTGGGACCTTGGGCCACCTCAAATAAACCAGTGATGAAAGGGACAATGTTACACGAGCGACTGGGGAACCTCACCTTCTGCTTCCCCTGAACAAAAGTGCATCTTACGATCAGACAAGGCAACAAAACCAGTGATCGCTCAGCTGAAAGATTAGATTTACAGGCTCATGGTTCACGCTTTGGCAACAGAATTCTAACAAGTGACCACGAAGTTTACAGGATAAACACCTTTTCAGAGTGTCATCTAAAATCCCCATGTCATGCCCAGCAAGGCAGACAATTAAAACAGTGGGTGTCCACTTGTTAAATCAGTATTTTCTAAACGACTTCCAGAAATAAGGAATCCCGCCTAACATGAACATAACTGACTGTTCCCCTCCCAGGCAGAAAATCCATCTGTGAACACCTGACTAACAAATAACTTGATTAGAAGTTACTCACATTCAATCAAGCAATATGGATTCAGACTCACTAATACTTAGAAAACAGGAAGAAACAAAAGTTCTTTACTTCAGATTTTAGATTGTATTTACAGAAGTGGGAGAAGATTGTAGGCATGCCTGCAGATTCCTGTGGAATAGCAAAAAACAAGTCAAAATTTTAAGTATTATCTTTCCAAATACAAAGATTTCACGAGTCTCCAGACACACACTCACATAAGATTCAGAGGTATCTGGTTAAGAAAATCAAAACCTCTCTGAGACACAATCCTCAGCTCACTTTGAATTGGCCAGAGTGATGACATGCTGGAAAATTAAAAAAAAAAAAAAAAACCAAAAAAAAACACCAAAGGAATGAAGCAAAACTTCAAGGTGCTACAGGATGAGCTTTTCTGTCTAATGATTCGAGGACCCAATCTCAGGTATCCTCCCCTCGGGTGTGCACCACACACAGGTTGATATTCAAGTATTTTCACCCACCAAAACCCAAGTGATTCCACAGGCCTACAAATCAAAAGAAAAGAAAGAAAAACTTGGAGAGGAGAAAACTCGCCAGTGTGCATATCCCCATTTAAATTTCTAACCTAGAAAGTGGAACTCTGAGGGTACAAATGACTTGTGCAATAACAACATTATATGTAAACCAGAGTAACCAACAGTGCGTGACGACCGTGTGAGCTCCGTCCCGCTATCGTATGCTGTCCAAATAATGCACTTCTGGGTACAGAGTGTTAACCAGGAGAGCCAAGAGATTATTGCCATCTCGAAGACAATGTTCTGGGTGCTTGATGAACTCAGAAGCCTGGGAAAGCTGCTCTTGGTAATCCATATATTGTTTGTTTGACGCCATAGATTCGAGAGCGCTCAGTGCCTATAGATGGAAGGGGAAGTCCTGTTAGCTGTGCGTACTTTGGCCTGTAGCAAACCTGTTCACGAGCCACCACAGTCACAACTCCACTAGACGATCCTGGAGTATTTGGAACAATTGTAAAATACAGTCCCCTAACAATGTTTGTAGCCACCTCACATTTTTCAAGCTGTTCCCTCCCCCACATCAACACAACTACTGTTCCATCAAGGTTTGCTGGGATCCCGTAACCCAAACGTCGTATTTACTTCACGAACCCCAGACGTGGTTGCAAGGAAATGACACTGAACTACAAAGTGCACACTGAACTATTCACTTCAGGTTTTTCTTACAAGCATCTCTGATATTCACACAAGTATTATTTTGTTCCCCTTAATAATATTATGGAGACAACGCCAAGCTAGAAATTAGACATAAAAGAGCCGGTGCTGGCAGTACCAGCCAGGGCAAATGCTGGAAATACGACTGAACAAGTTTAATTCCTTTGTTAGAGAAGAGAAACAAGTTGTAACAAACAAGTTACTGGGCTCTGGTTTCTAATCAACTCCTCGTCCCTCTTCTCACACTTACTGAAACAATAATATGGTCAGTGTCCATGCTAAAGAAGGAATGTGTACTTCTCACCAGGTTTTTAAGCCCTCAAATTGTTGGTGTGAATGTAGTCCTGCTTTATCACTGAAAAGCAAAGCAATCACAGCAGTCCTGCTTTTTTCCTGTTTGTTTTAAATTCCTTCTACCTGCTATGTTCCAAAGTTTCCAAACTCAGGGTTTACAGACGTTAAGTTCATCTGCCCCTTTTCAGTGCGTGAGATGAAAAAACGATGCCTTCACATTAATACAGAAGGTTGTATGAACAGGTCTACTTGCATTCAGTCTGGGATCACTTTGGATTAGGGCTCAGGCAGACAGTCCTGCTACCAGAGTGCAGCAAGCCCCCACCATCACCTGGCCTACACTGCGCTTGCCTTGTCTCTGACAAATCCCAAAATGGCATTTTGACGTAAAGCAAAACAGTACACAAGTTTGTGTGCACCCCCTTCCCTGAGAAGGGTAATGAGAGGAACAAGCTATTTCCAAAATTCAGAATTTAGAGCCAAATGTAAAGCAGTAGCCAAAGATAACTGAGGGCGTTCAGTGCCTCATAAAAATTAGCCAGTTGAGAGCAAGATGTAGCTCTCCAAGTCAGCAAGTTGACGCAATGCTTGCAGCGACTCCCACAAGCCCCAGCCCACGCAGCGAGCACGCACGCACGTCAAGACGCCCGTGGCGGCACACACTACCTGCTGGGCCTTCTGCGACAGCTTCGGTTCTGACCCCGCTTTCAGGCGGACTTGATTCTCTGCAGGAATCTGTACCAAGAGGAAGGCAGACAAACTGCGGGCAACCACGCGAAACCTTGCACAGGGAAAACGACAGAGAGAGAAGGTGGCATCAATTCTGCAAGTCCTCAACAGCAGGTAAACCTGGAAGTTGTAACTCATGAGATATCTCTTGCAGAAGGAACAGAACAAAGACTTTAGAGGATGGTTTTTAATGCATTATGGGGAAAAAATCACTATAATATATGAAGTGTCTGCATATGGTTTGCATGGCAAGGTTTTGGTAGTGGGTGGCTACGGG